GTGGTAAAAGAGAGAACTTACGTGATTTTTCACGTAGTTTCAACGTGTCGTAGGCCATCTATGCCAAGCGCGTCACCCTCATTCTAAACAACATACAGCTCACCAGCCTCATCTGTGTTCAATACCCTAATAGCTCAGCCATCACGACAAAACGGTCCTTTTCAGGACCACCATAACTTTGTACAAGAGTATTTTTTGGACATTTGCTCTGACATTTGTCAAGGTCATCAATCGGATGTCAGTTACCCAAGATAGAGCTGGAATTAGGGCGTAACAGCTTTTGTAAACAATGAGTTCTTTCGATGATGTCTTGAAAGTCAAGGCTCGCCCACGCAAATAAACATCACCATCAGGTAGGGTAAGACTTCCCCCACCCGACGGAAATGTTGGTATGCGTTGACGTGTCTTGAATTCCTCAAAATCATCGAGAGAAGTCATTGTTTACAAAAGCTGATACGCCTAATTCCAGGTCTATCTAAATCTAACATACCATGTTCTTGAAGGCAAAATTGGGGGTGTAATTACAAAAACCAAAGCCGGTCGCGGCATGAAAGTGGTCTGATTTTGATCCAGAGATGATGGATTTTAATTCTTAATACGCCAATCGATACGAATTTTTTCTACAAATCTTTTAAAATTAAGACTATCATTTTTCAACATGTCACTATTGAAAATTGCACGAATGTGCATCTGTTGATATGATAATTAAAATGTCACACGGATTCTCATGATCAATATAAATCAAATACAAGGACTGTCCACAATCTACGGGGACAATCGATATAAATAAAAACATCTAAGCATGTACAAATCCTCCGAACATTATCTGGAAAAAGATGAATAAGATAATAGGATTGTAGCTTAAAGCGGAAGCTTAAAATTCGTATCCAAAACGCTCCATTCAAATCGGCGCGCAAAGAGGTCGTACACGAATTTGAACTTGTTCGGGGCACACTTGGCACCACCCATACCCCGTGCGGACCCTCCTGTTCACATCTGACCCACTAGCGTCAACCCGAGCGCGGCTTGAGTGGAAGACGAAAATCGAAAAAAGTTTGAGAACCACTGGTCTATGTCATAGATCTTTAAAAAATGTCCAAGATCTTTCCCTGGATTTTTTTTTGACGTAGGACTACGTCTTTAATTTCTATACTGGAGGTCACATTAAAAAAAAATCAAAATTCATACATGTAACGAAAAATTCCAAACACGGACGCAACGATAGAGCGCAAATTTAACGACACACGGCCGCTCGTAAGGGAGGAGAAAGCAGCGGTAATAAAAACGCTTGCCAAATCGTTTTCTTCGTCAATTACTTTCGAACAACGGACGGATAAGCGTCGGACACGACGTATGAGTGGAACAGTACGCATCGTACCAATACGAAGACGACGACGAATGTACCCACATCGACCGGAGGAAAGGCTTCCCGCAATAGGCAGCATGACTGGGCAGCCGTCATCCGGATCCGTCATCATCGAATTGCACTGGTATGAATGAGTCAAGTAGCGCTAGTTGTTTTTTCACAACAATCCAATTCAATGCTGGTAGGAACACGTCTTGGTCTGGTGTGAATGCTGCCATATACTTCCTAGAACGCTCTGACGAAAAATACACCAAAAGGGAGGGGCTTAATCAGCTATTCTGAAAGTATAAAACAGACTGTAATTCAGTGAACGTGATCAGTTGCAATTCCTTTTGCTGTGGGGACAGTAGTCACAACTAATTTGAAACCAACTGAGCACGCTGTCTCTGGAGATACCCAAGTGCACCAGTTTGTTCGCCTCGATCCAAAATGGCAGTTTCATTTGCGACGGAGATGGCCACCACAAATTTGGTGAGATCCTGAAGGACGCCGACATCGGAGGCTCTTTGAGTAGCTTCACCATCTTTTCGGACGTTCCACTGCAGTCGTTCCGTTAGGCTGACTACAACATTGATCACCTGCAACCAAGGAATCAAAAATATCTCCAAATGACAAAATGACAAGCGATCAATGGACCGAATGATAACGCTATGTAAGAAGTGGAAAGCAATGATGATATAATCTTCTTCCTTTTTTCATGACAATCAGCCCGTGCGACACAGCTCACTCGGTGCGGTAGAAAGAAACGAGCAAATTGTTGGCAAGCTGCTTCACGAAGTATAGCCGAAGATGATACACGTGTATTAATGGGAATTTTTGTGTTATGTCGTTTCTCGATTCAGATCAAGCTATGTCCTCATCCATGTATATTGCAACAATTCTGGCAAGCAATATATCATTATCCTTCTACCACTCCGATAGAGCTATGTTACAGAGCGAGTTTGTCATGGTAGTCGTAGCCTCGGTCGTAGCAACCGTTTTGTCTGTATCGTTGGTTGCTTTATGTGTCTCGCTGCCTGCAACATTTCGACCGCTGTGCAATGGTGTAAGCACGATATCCTGAAAGTGCCAGTATGCCAGTGTTCGGAAAATCACTATCAGCTTTGGGTCATTGAGTCTTCGTGAGAGAATAAACTTGTTATAAGTTTGTTTACAATTTGCTCTAAAACCTCGCCCATTTAGTGAAAAAGCTGTATCACCATGTATATACCATGCGTAAATCATCCAGCTCTAAACCTTCCCGCAGACGTCAATTAATTATATGATTTGAGTAGTAGCTATACTGAAGATCCGAGAGATGTCGCCCCTTCAGTGGTAGGAAAATCATTTTTGCAATATGGAGAATATCAGAAAATCCACGATTTGTGACTAAACATGCTTTCACAGAAGGAAACAAATAAACGAGTGTTTACCTTATCACCATAGTAATGTACTCGGGCATTTTTTGTTCATCTAAAACTGCCCATAAAGACGACAATGAATAAAAACTGAAAATTTTCATGCATTTCCAAATGGTTTCCTACCATTCCCATACATTCGAAGTGACTGGCCCTCTGGATGTGGATGATGTCAAAAACAACAAAACATGATTAATTGGTAGCACGTTTATGCATTACGTGTTAGTTGTCCATCACATCCACTTTTAAAATTACAGGTATCAATAATCACTATTTTTATCAGCTACACGGTAGAGGTCTCAAACGACCAATAGGAAGAAAAAACAAACAACGGCCCTTCTCAAGGCCACCATTCGTAAAACAACCTTTTTAGGGCCGCCAATTCAAACACGTAGAGTTAAGATAAAAAAGTATCGGTCAAAAGGACTAAAGACTCAACATATTTGTTCCGTCCACTAGTGGTCCTATGTCAAGCTTATCATAAATCATAAACAGAGCTAAAAAAGGGCCTATCTTCTTTGATCGATTCTCTTTTTCGACTTTCTCTTTCGTTAATAACTCAGCTGTAACGACATTCCTTGTTGCATTTGATGATTTGGACGATAGATGAAAACCTCCTTTATCATGCTATGTGGCAAAAATAGCACAAAATCTGTTTGCATTGCCGTAGGTATCAAGAGAAAGTCGATGAAGAGAATCGATCAAAGCAGATAGGCCCTTTTTCCAGCTCTGTATAGATATGTTGCCTGTTGGTTAACAACTTTAATAAGTTGGATTTTTTTAAATATTCAAATATCCTTTCGGTTAGCGAATGTTTAGTGTTTTATCATAACTGTAATTAATTACTATTAATCATAAAATAACAAAAAGAACAGGAATTATTAAAAAATAGACAAAAACAGCAGACAAACAATTTCTTTGTTTAATAGTAAAATAATGTTTTGTTGTAGCGTTCACCGTTGTTGTTAACCCCCGAGGAAGTCGCCTTTCAGTATGCAACCCTTCACACTACAGCACCAGTATGTGGATGCTCAAAATAAATGTAAAATCCGCACACGACCAACTTAGGCAAAGCACATGTGAGTCAATTCTACATGAACGTTTCAAAAGGTCGTAATATCTGCAGTGATTGATTCTCTTCATCGATTTTCTCGTCACGCTAACTTGAAAGTAACCATTAATGGGTAAAATTTTTACTCATCAATGATTTAAGCCATTTTTTTCAAATGGGTATTTTTTACCCATTAATGGGTACTTTCAAGTTAGCGTGTTCAGGTAATAACTATAGATTAATTTTTCAATATGTCCTGTTTATTTGTCGATCAATAAATCGGTTAAATTGATTCGCTTTTCAGCGCGACCAACGCGGTATTTTCGGTACGTACAGTCTTTAATTTAGTCTTTGAAATTTTGATTGTAAGCATTAATATTGCAAAGCCACCTCGATTTTTTTATCAACAAATGGATATAGGACCTATTTAAAAGACTTCAGATCTCACCTGCAAACACATTTTTCCTGTTGTGTTTTACACGGACGCGGACCTTCTGTTATCAGACTATGTAGCGAAATTCATGAAGAAAAGCGAACAATGCAGATAGGGACCTATTGGAATGTTTGTCTAGATATGTGCACAGCAGCAGTCAACAAAAATCAATAGATTCTATAAATAAAAATCTTGCATACAACACCAGCGCGTGGAAGTTGTATGCCGCTGATACACTTGTATGGCAAACTATGAGTATTATTTGTATAATAATTATGAGCACTATTCAAAAACTATACAAGTGTGACAATGGATGAGTATGAGTTTTATTATACAAATACGGCTCATGCTTATAGTTGGCCATACAAATGTATCCGCGGCAAAACAAACAAAATCACGTGCCTGCTTCGTGTGAGCCATCCATCGCTAGAACTGTTTCATTGCGCCAGTAGTATATATACAAATGCCGCTACCATCCTCCACTGCCCAGTCGAGCCTCGGTGGTCCGGGGTGCAGGCTTCAAACCTGTAGTCGATTAGCGTCGAAGTGGTTCGATTCCACCTACTGGGCGACCTTTTGGAGGTTTTCTTGTTCCTAGCCACTAGACAATATGGGTAAATAATGCAGTTCTTCGTTTTCGTACGAAGATTCTCCCCCAACACCTTTTACCGGTCACAACGCCCATTTAATCAAATCATTAAGGATAGGTTTCGGATGAACGAACTTCCACTGCTACTACTGTTTGTTTGCATAATATGCTTTCTTGCACTTTTGTTTTACAGACTTTTAATGTTCTATAATTGTGATTGTATGTAATGTTGCGAAGATTTACTTTTTTTTGTACACTACATAACTGCCGTTTTTAGTCTACCTTACATTTACCCAAAATTTTCTCTAGAAATATTGTAGTCTTTCGCTTCAACCGAGCGTTGTAGTGTTTTTATAAAAAAGTGTCCTCTTACCTTTTTTCGTTTCGTTTCCCGTGCAAATGTGTCACTCTCACATCATCAGTGGGATCAAATTACGCGAAACACTCGGCGCACATCGGAGTCCATCCAGGATTCAGGGTGATAGGAAATCAACAACGGAGAACAAATCAAAATTGGGGTAGGTATTTGGAGGGTAATAATAGTCTCTCTCTTGCATTGTGCACACACTCTCGCAACCACAGCTTGCATTTCAGTTGTATTTTTTCCCTTAATTTTAGTCATCGTCATTCTCCGCATCGGACGAATCCGTGGTGAATTCGCTCTCGTTGGCTTGCTGTTCGTTCGCTTCCGATTCCGAGTCGCTGATGTCCCACTGTGGATGTTCGGTGGGTATCGCTGCCGCTTCCTTGACGTCCAGCTTCAGATCGACCTGCTGGTCCATTCCGAAGTAGGAATCCGACCGTAGGCAAACGGTGAAAACGTACACACCGGGCCACTTGGGGGCGGTGAATTTAAGCGCGACCTCCTCGCGGTGCACCAGATTGGTGACGTGGTACGGCGCGGTGAGGAGGGTGCGGGACTTCCGATCGCAGATGTACGTCCACCAGTATTCGTATTTTTCCTGGAAATTAAGGATGGGCGATTATGTCGGTGATTTGGACTAAGCCGCTGAAAGGGGATGTTACCTCTGGGAACAGCGGACAGTGCACCGGATGGGAAACCTTGGATTTGCCTTCCAATTTCTCACGTTTGTTGATTTTCTGTTGGAATCTGAAAATAATGCATTGAGTCAATAATTTGGAAAGTTGATCTTGGGGAAGTATGAATTAGTTACTTTTCCCATTCGACATCGTCGTCTTCCACAGAGGACTTCTTCCCTTCATCGGAGCTGATATCGTTGTCACTTTCGGCACCGCTGTCTGCATCTGAATCATCCTTGCGAACCTTTTCGTTGATTTTGTTCTGAAAATTAGCGGAAATAATTGTTTTTTTTTTTTCTGTCTATCTTATTTATGTTTATCAATAATTACCTTTCTTACCTTGTCGACCTTGGTAACCTGAGTTTGAGCCTGTGCTGCGGCAGCGGCTGCTGCTTGTCGTTGCTTGTTCTTGTTGGCCGCACCTTTGCTTTTGCTCTTGTGACCCTTGCCTGCCTTCGGCTGCCAGGCGGGCTTCTTTGCCTTGGCTTCCTCTTTCTCGTCCTTGGCCGGTGCCCCCTCACCACCGTTCTCTTCCCCTTCAGCTCCCTCGTCGTTTTCCTCACTAAAACAATAAAGGATCTAGAGTTGATCCTAAAACAAATAGTCAGGATAACAACTCACGTAATGCTTTGCTTCTCCTTGGCGGTGGTATCGCCAAACAGTTCGCTCATGCTCCTCCGGACCAGCTCGACCGTGACGGTCACAATGGCCCCGGCAGTTACCACGTTCGAGTTCTCGTCATCCACCACTTCGCACTTGACGCTGAAATCGATCAGGGGCATTTTGCCGAGCACCTTCATTACGTTCTCGTAGTCATAGTCACTCAAGCTTCGCAGCACTCCGCGGCTTTCGTCTGCTGGAAGCTGGGCAAACTGCTGCAGATTCCGAACCGGGCGCTTCTTCGAAGTGAAGTACTTCAGGTGCTCTTCGGTGACGTGCGGCAGTTGCAGGAGCGGATTTTTGAACTCCCATAGACCCTGGATGATCATCGGGGACAGTTTCATGCAGTTTTCGATCGTTTCAATGGTGGGCAGCTTGGAAACTAGAAAAATCCATTGAAATACGTTTCTATAAATGAAGGAATTTCGAACTCACTTCTTCGAGCGTAGGCAAGCATAATCAGCTGGTTGACACAGCTGACCATCTCCTGGATTAGATAGGGACACTTCTTAACGATGAATTGGCGATCCTTGTCCAGTGTGTGCGGATTCAGGACCATCCGGCTAAGATGAGCGTGCAGGATGGATCGGGCTTTAATCGAGTACATTCGGCACAGCGGCAGCTCCTTACACTTTTCGTTCAAGTTCGGTAGTTGTTTGATAAGCTGTAACAACATGAACACACATCAGATAAATCTACGTTTTCAAAAATCGGCACCGATTCTCACTCACCATTGGCACCTCCTCGTTATCCGACTGTCGTTCGACCACTTGCGTGTTGTGCCTCTTATCAAACTCCAAACTGGCAGCCAGAATCATCACCACCCGCTTCAGAGCCATGTGCGGAGTCTTGTGGAAAAAGTAGAAATACATCTGCGTCGTATCCAGCAGCACTTTATCGCCACTGTAGCGAATCGATCGATACCACCAGGTTCCGACCACCGTAGGCAACGCCACCATAAACACCAACGCATACAAACCCAACACCCACACCGAGTTCTCCTTCTCGACGATCCACGAGGGCAGCGCAATACCGAACGACGTCGCACCCGGGCCATCCGGATTGCCGTACTTTTCCCAGTTCTTCCTGGCTTCGTTGTCCGTCAGGGCTTGGTACGCCTTGGTCAACTTCATGAAAGCCTTCTCGTCACCGGTTTCCTTATCCGGATGCAGAATGACTGACAGGGTGCGGTACGCTTTCTTGATGTCCTTCTCGGAGGTGCCCGGTGGGACGCCCAGAATTTCATACGGGTCAAAGTTGGACATCTCGTAGTCGAATTGGGACACTTTGTAGGTTAGAAATGCAAGCAGCGCCCAGCCACCGATGATCAGCACCTTGATCAGGAACGCCTTGAATCCCTTGTACGGGTCGGAATGTGATATTAGGATGCGCTTTTTGTTGCATGGTTCGCACTGGCATTCTGCTTTGAAGCGTTCCGGGTCTGGGTGAGGGAGGAAACCAAAAAAAAAAAAGAAGTTTAGATTAGTCTTGGAACTTTGCGCAGTGGCGATATCGTAACCAATGAGGTACGTCCGAGGTGCGATTATTGCTAGTTGAAAACTAGATTAGTCTTGGAGGTAGGACATATTCTATTCAAATGGAACTGTTATGCGTTTATGGGTAGTTTAATTTTCGATTAAATCTCTCGAGTCTTCCACCTTGCCTCTACACGCAAGTATAATCAATATATTGACTATTCACTGCCTGATGCCGATCAAATTTTCAGCAATTCTGACTGTGTTAGTCATTGTGATGATGTAACTCCCAATCCAGGAATCCTGGAACGCGCCGTAGAAAGCCCCATGGAAGCCCCCAATCCCTCCGTCTCAGTCCTGTCATCAGCAGCCTTCGTTCATCATAGTCGTTCCGGACCTGCTGTCGGATGTGGAGAGGGGGTCTTCCAACCCACTCACTATGGCGAGTATCCAATGAGACTTGATGATCTGCGACAATGAACTCATCGATACTCACTGTCGGTTAGTTTTCACAGTTGTCGAAAGTGCCACTCCAGTTGATGAGATATTCATTTTTGGTGACTTCAATCTGCCAGGCGTTTCGTGGAGTCCATCTCATAGCGGATTCCTGTACCCAGATCCTGATAGCTCTACATTTCACGCAGGAGCTATTAACCTTCTCGACAACTACAGCGCAGCGACGCTTTCTCAAATTAACCATGTAGTTAACAAAAATGGTCGTAGTTTGGACCTCTGCTTCGTGAGCACACAGGGCAGGGATCCATCAAATTCCTCGGCTCCTTGTGAACTAACTAAGCTAGTTCCACATCACCCTCCTCTAATTGTCACTGTTGAGGACAAACTCGTGCGTGATTTCGACGATTATCCTGCTACGGTTTCTTATGACTTCCGTAAAGCTGACCACCGTAGCATCATAGATGTATTGTCTAGCATGGTATGGGAGAACATCCTTGATCCAGATGACGTTGAGGCTGCAGCGCAAACCTTTTCACATGTATTGGCATATGTCATTGACATACACGTCCCGAAAAGAACTCACCACAAAGTGTCTCACCCTCCCTGGCAGACGAGAGAGCTACGTAGGTTGAAGTCAATCAAGATAGCAGCATTGAGAAGATTTACGAAGTATCGCACGCTTCCTCTGAAACTACATTATGTGAGGCTGAATCACATGTACCAGCGAGTCAGTCGTGAATGCTTTTCAAGTTTCCAACGAGGCATCCAGTGCAAATTTAAGCTACACCCGAAGTCCTTTTGGAACTACGTGAACGAGCAACGCAGGGAATCCACCTCCCATCGACTATGGAATTCAACGGAGAAGTTGCTGCCACCGTTCAGGATATATGCCACCTTTTTTTCCGAAAAGTTTGCCAGTGTATTCACTAATGAGATACTAACTGACGACCAGATTAACATGGCTGCCAGGAACGTTCCAGTAAACGATCAAACGCTGGGTGCAATTGATTTTAATGCAGAAATGATTTCTAAGGCCGCGACTCTGCTCAAGTCATCCTTCAATCCTGGACCTGATGGAGCTCCATCTGTATTTTTGAAGAGACATATTGCTAGCTTGTTAATTCTGCTTCTTCGCCTGTTCCGAATGTCTCTCTCAGGTGGCATATTTCCATCTTGCTGGAAATTTGCGCACATGTTTCCCGTCCACAAAAAAGGTAGGCAACGAGCTGTGGATAACTATTGAGTAATTACATCGTTAAGCGCCGTTTCGAAGCTATTCGAGCTAGTGATTATGGAACCGTTGCTGTTCCATTACAAGCAGTATTTGAGTGCTGATCAACATGGGTTTACTGTCGGCCGCTCTACAAGCACCAATCTCCTATGTCTCACATCGTATATAACCGAAAGCATGTCGGATCGGTTTCAAACGGACGTTATTCATTCAGACATATCCGCAGCATTCGACAAGTTGAACCATGTTATTGCGATTGCTAAACTCGGCAGGCTCGGTGTATGCGGTAATCTTCTGAGTTGGTTTCGATCATATCTTACCGGTCGGCAACTAAAGGTTGCCATAGGAGATTGCAGATCAGCTTCTTTGACACATCAGGTATACCTCAGGGAAGCCACATGGGACCGTTAATTTTTAAACTGTACTTCAACGACGTGCATCTGGTCATCGAAGCTTCTCGGTTATCATATGCAGATGCCCTCAAAATCTTCCTACGAATCTGCTCGATTGCTGACTGTCACTTTATTCAACGTCAGCTGAATGTATTCGGTAGTTGGTGCAGTTTAATCATAATGGTAGTGAACCCAGCCAAATGCTCCGCTATTACGTTTTCACGAAATCAACAACCGATAATATTTAGCTATGACCTGCTTGGCTCGACAATCGAACGTGTGAATCAGGTGAAAGACTTGGGTGTGATCTTGAATTCGCAGCTTTCATTCAAACAACTCATTGCATATGTTGTTGATAAGGCGTCAAGAACTTTAGGGTTCATTTTTAGGATAGCTAAAAACTTCACTGATATCTACTTGAGCTTGAGCTTGAGCTTGATTGACCGCCCACGGTTGCTACTCTGTTATTGCCAGATCAGCTGTAATTACACAGAGAACCAATAGACGATGCTTGGGACTAGCAATCATCCTCAATGTGTAAAAACTGGTGATCTTAAATTAGGCAATACCAGCGCCGGCCGCGCCCACACAGGTCAAGAAAGGAATGGGAAGGATTGTGTTGACATGACACTCGCTTTGATGGAAGCCGAGAACACCTCTGCACTTCCACGAGGAATCACTGGTATGTTGGATAAGAGGGTTGGGTTTGCAGCAGGGTCATACGATCATATAACCCGAACGAGCTTGGGACTAAACTCACGGTCTTCTCCTCAGTAAGCAAAAACGTTTGCCACTAGGCAGACGAGTACCTTTTTAATCACCGAGTTGCTGTTATTACCATGTAGTCATATTAACAAATAAAACGATTGACGAATCTTGAATGTGGATGGGCCTGAGATTAGACTCATGATGTTCTGCTCAGTAAGCAAAAACGGTTGCTCTAAGGCCACCGAGCCCCTCATATCACATAATACCGTTGCTCAAATTTTGGTGTCCATTCAAACCCGGAACCAACGACAACAACGAGTTTCGCAAAATACACGATACACAAGCGATTTTACCATAAATCTCTTTGATATGTAAGGACCTGGGACCGCGTTTTTCTGCTCAGTAAGCAGGCCACTGTAACCGACGATCTTTCAAATCCGAAAACTAAAAACTACGAAAAAGTACTTAGGCCTTCATTAAGTTCCACTTTCACGCGACGTTCAATGTTTCAGTTTGCTTGGAGGCGAACCAGCCTAAGGCTGAAAGCCTCCTAAATAAAGCTAAATTAATTAATTGTTTCAGTTTGCTCTTTACGTATTGTTCTGGCTATAAATAGGCCCTTTTCAAAAGTTACGCGAGAAATACGCACAATCGTCGCCTACCTCGCAAAACTGGTTCCAAACGACAACAAAGGCATAAGCAACGATGGATTGTTGAACTTTGCTGGCTCCAGTGGTGTAGTGCACAGCAAAAAAAAAATGTAATATCGATCAACGTACTTCAAGCTGATGTATGAAATAATGATGTAATGTAATTGTAATTTTGTAATTTATCAGCACACACCCTGGTCGACCACTGTAAACCAATCTGCCGTTAAGCGAGTGTGTACCTACTGAAACCTGGCCGTCGGCCTATTCTAGACCGACTAAAAACTTCACTGATATCTACTGTCTAAAATCTCTCTATTGTTCGCTTGTTCGATCGACGCTTGAGTATTGTTCGGTGGTTTGGAACCCAAAATACAACAACGGTGCCGAGAGAATTGAATCTGTTCAACGTCGCTTTCTTCGTTTTGCGTTACGTAGATTGCCTTGGAATGATCCGTTTCGATTACCCAGTTACGAAAGCCGTAGTCAACTTATCGACCTAGAACTTCTCCGGACTAGAAGAGACACAAGCAGAACTCTAACCGTGGCCGATATCCTACAAGGAAGGACAGATTGCGAGGCTATCCTGAGGCAAATTGACCTGAATGTTCAACCCCGACCGCTTCGTAATAACCCTATGCTAAGACTGCCTCTACGTCGCACAAATTATGGAGCGTACGATGCGAGTTGCGGACTGCACAGAACATTCAACAGAGTTGCATCTGTTTTCGACTTTCATCTCTCCCGTGGTGCGCTTCGTCGAAAGTTTTTTTTTCTATTTTTCGCCGGCAGTAGTAACTGACTATAAGATGTATGTTTTTTATGTTATGACCATGCTTGAATATTTTTTTTTCCATAGTTGATAAGGTTAAAATCATTGGGGCTTCATCCAGCCTGTTGATGTAAAACAACAATCTGTGGAATGGCATTGGGTTACGATTACCGTAGCACTCCTCAACGGTATCGAAAGTACATGCCAAGTAGCGGTTCAGCTCTTTTTGACATGTTTCCTTGTGAGTTGCTTGCAGTTTGGGTTGACTAACGCCGAAAAACACCGCTTCCTCGTCAAGTTCTGAATTGTCATCGACGTTTGAATCGTCCTCTTCAGCATCGACTTCACGACCATCAGCTTCCGTCATTCTTAGGACAAGTACTCGATAAATATCATCTCTGTTCATGTTCTTGAATGCATCCCATTCAAACATGAATGCCGGTATCAATGTAGTGGCTACAATCAGTTCTTTATCGGTCATCATAGCTCCGAATCGCTTATCGGATTTGATCGATGATATAGCTGCTTCCAACAGTGATAGGCAATGTTTTAAAGGTTTTCCATCTTTGATTCGCTTCGCTTCCAATGACAGACCATAGATGGTTGGAAGCAAGTAGCCCATATACATAAACTTCGCTCGTTGTAGAGTATCTAATGTGTACGCAATAGGTTGCATCACCCACACATATTATTTTAAATACGCCACTTCTAACGGCAACCATTTTTGCAATCCTGTGTGTTCTAAAGTGGCGTTCAACTTTTCTGGAACACGATCAATGATATTGCAGATCTGGAATGATTTGCTATCAGACATAATCTTAAGCACTCCTTTATTACATCGGCAACTACAGAAGATTTGTTCTGCTCCCTCCACCAAGTCTTCAATTTTTTCTGTAGTTTCGTTCATTTCCTTCAAATCAGCAACCTCCTCAAACACTGGATTAACGTCAGTAGTGGCCACTGAGTTCAAAATGTGGCACGCACATCGTTGGTGGGCTGGAAGGGGTTCAGCAAACGCACCTTAATCGAGCAGAGTTTTTACATCAAGTACGGTTTCAGAACGAGTACGGATTTCCGGATAAACTGACGCGATTGGTCAAGGCGACGATGGATCGAGTGATGTGCGTTGTTCGAGTATCGGGGACACTCTCGAGTCCCTTTGAATCTCGAAGGGGGTTACGGCAAGGTGATGGACTTTCGTGTCTGCTATTCAACATCGCGTTAGAAGATGTGATCAGAAGAACTGGGATGAACACGAGTGGCACAATCTTCAGAAAGTCCATCCAGCTTCTTGGCTTCGCCGATGATATTGACATCATGGCACGGAACTTTGAGACGATAGCGGAAACGTACATCAGACTGAAGGGTGAAGCTAGGCGGATTGGACTTGCCATCAACGCATCAAAGACAAAATACAAAAGGCGAATGAACCACGAATTGCACCAGCTGCTGGGAGAACCATCCATCGTCCACATAGCAAAAATTGGGCGACTACGGTGGGCTAGGCACGACGACCCAGTGAAAATGGTTCTAGAAAGCGACCCAACAGGAACAAGAAGAAGAGGCGCGCAGCGGGCAAGGTGGATCGACCAAGTAGAAGGCGACCTGCGGACCCTTCGCAGACTACGAAGCTGGCGAAGTGTGGCCATGGATCGAGTAGAGTGGAGACGACTTCTTCGGGCAGCAGAGGACAACAAGGCCTTAGCCTGATTGGTGAGTGGTGAGTGTGAACTGAATTTCAGGTTGTACAGAACAACCATCCTTTCGGTTTTAGAGTACGGTAGCTTCTGCTTTCAATCCGCGACAAAAACACATATCCTGGAGCTGCAACGGGTTCAATACCGTTGCCTCCGAATCGCGCTTGGCAGTATGCACTCGACGCATACGATGAGCCTCGAAGTACTCGCGGGTGTTCTCCCACTGACAGATCGTTTCGCGGAACTGTCCTTCCGGTTTCTTATCCGTTGTGAAGTAATGAACCCATTGGTAATAGAAAACTTTGAGAAGCTACTGAACAGAAATCCTCAAACAAGATTCATGAGTCTCTATTACGAGTACATGACGCTGCAGGTTGGTCCTTCTTCATTAATCTCCAATCGTGATTGCCTTCAAGCCTTCTATAGTTCCTCTGTAAATTTTGATCTGACCATGATGCAAGAAATCCATGGAATACCAGATCACCATCGGTCGATGGTTGTTCCCTCCATTTTTGCAATCAAGTACCACCATGTAAGTAACGATAAAAGTTTTTTCACAGATGGGTCAACCATAAATGCTTCCACTGGATTTGGTGTATTTAATCAATTTCATAGCGCCACCAATAATCTGCAAAAACCATGCTACGTATACGTTGCGGAACTCGCAGCCATAATTTACGCAGTAGAGCGAATTGTCTTACTACCTTCTGACTATTATTTCATTTTTACGGATAATCTTAGCTCTTTGGAGGCTATTCGTTCAATGAGGCCGATGAAGCACTCCTGTATTTCCTGCCTGAAATCCGAGCTAAATTGAGTACTTTATCTAACTGCTCCTATACTATCACCTTTTTTTTTTCCTCTGTTCGGGACCTAACACTACTGCGACCAGTAAATTGATCTATTGTTGTATATCCCGTGTCCTTAGTTTAGTGCATGTCGTATTACTCCACCACTATTGAGAAATGATGAAGCATTCGATTTTTTTGCAGTTGCCACTCTTGCATTTATCGCAAGGATCCGAGTCTAATTGAAAGGTCCCGCTATTTATACCCTTCGGAGTGTTGAAACACCCTCCAAAGCCGCGCCCCTTTGTCAGTCAAAATTGGATTCCTTAGCAACAAAATTAAGGTATGACACCGATAATGACCATGCATCAGAACCCTAGTCTTAACCACTTCAAACTAGGGAACAACGAAGAGAAGATTAGGAATCACATAGATGAAGACAACTAACTCATTTTTTTTGCCTTGTTTCAAGATCATCCTCGGTAGACAAAGCCGAGTCTTGTCACTATCAACAAGGCATAAAAAGTAACAAGGACTAAGATGTGTTCCTTAGATTACTGAAAAATCCTGTTCCCCTAGTTTGAAGTAGTCGGGACTAGGAATCGGTGGTAGATCTTACCGTAACGTACCACGAAAAGGTGATCTACCCACGTTACGGGGCACTATCACCTTAGTTTGGGTCCCATCTCATTGCTCAATTCCGGGTAATGAGAAAGGGGACTCGTTGGCTAAGGTGGGCACTTCAACGAATTTTTCTCCATTGCTCGTGAGCAAGTCCTCATCAGTTGGCAACAAAAATTGAATGATGGTGATTTGGGAAGATGGTTACATTCTAGTCTCCCACAGGTGTCGACCAAACCATGATTCAAAGGGTTGGACATGAGCCGCGACTTTATACGCGTTATATCAAGGCTTATGTCCAATCACTGCTCGTTAGACTCACACTTCTATCGAATTGGGCTCTCAGGCAGCAATTTAGGTGCGTGTGGCAGTGGTTATCACGATATCGAGCATGTTGTTTGGTCATGTATCTTAAACCGTGTTGCCAGATCTGAGTTATCCACATCCCTCAGGGCCCGAGGAAAACAACCCGCGATGCCCGTTAGAGATGTCTTGGTGAGCCGAGATCTCGACTATTTGAATTTAATTTATGTGTTTTTAAAACGGATAGATCTGAGGATTTAGTAGTTAGTGTCATCTTGTGTTCTTTCAAGTTGTTAACGGCCCATCGGTGTACCCCCATGTTTGTCTTTTTCATCAGAGTGCCGCTTAGTTCGAGATCAAGTGCACATTGCTCTCCAAACCTTGTGTTCACAATCCCTACCCTGCCATCCATTTTTTACAATTTGTTACTCCTAAACCTAGATAGCCGCGAGTAAACGGCCCCGCTTTACTAACGTTAGTTTTAAGTAATTTTGTAATCTAAACAATGAATATCGGCTCCGCAAAGCTACAGCAAATGAGCCTGGAAAAATAAACGCATTATAAAAAAAAAGAATAACTGAATATTCATAAAGTATAATATAAGTGACCATTTAAATAACATTAGCCACATCACATCACTCAACTCGCAGAGTAACCCCACATGTGTATGTTTACACAGAATAAAATCCATTCCCAGAAGGAAACTACCTATAGTTACTGTCCTACGCATATGGGAAATCCCATAGAACTTGCGACAGATGTGCATCCACCGGCAGTACAGCAAGACTTTATCGCAGATATTCTTTCAGCACGGGCGCAATTACCCATCTAAACCAACTACGAATAATTCCATACAATGAGCTGTTTGAAGAATTAACTTATGCCACACATGACGGTGCACACCATTTTAAAGGTGCTCCCAAGTGAAACGTGTGCGGTTCGTATATAATGAAGCCCATCATTCATGCTATAGCACCAGGGCCCTGCAAATTTCAACGACCTACCCAGGTAAATTTGATTCTGCCTGGGCTGTCGAACGCAAACATCGCGACGCGAGCAGAAGAAAGCGAATGAAAAGTGAAAGATAACTGTAAAAATTTCTCCTGATTTTTCGGCTCGTCTCTAGGTCTGTACAATGTTTTTTGACAGCTCATCACACACACGCACCAAAGGCATGGTATGCCGACACGACTGGTATCGGGCAGCGAGAGGTGCTGGAATGGACGAAATTTGCTCAGCCATCAGAATCAACAGATTAAATAGCTGCCTCCGTTCTTATTATTCCAAGGGAAAATCCACACACTTACCTTCCTTTTTCTTCCGAGGCCAAAAGTAGAAAGTGGCCGGTATGAGGATCAGCGCCAGAAACGACAGAATGAAGTAAAAGAAAGTTCCGCCGCTTTCATCGTACTGGAACTTTTGGCCACCCATTTTTTCCTATCTTATTTCTCTTCCTCCTCTGTAGTGTGCTCCTATGCAGCGGCCCTGGGGTTCCGGCAAGATTTATTATTTCCTTTTAATCTCCGGTAATCCTGTTGCTCTCTACATCAGTGGATCCTGGATTCGTCGGCGGGTTAGCTCGGAACTTTACGGAGTAATACACACGCCCGCAGAGAGGAAAAAGCCAAACCTTTCACCTCCAAAACTACCTTTTCCCTTTTTCTGCAGCTGCTTTCTTTTGCGCGATATAAACCTTACGGACGACGGACCCACGGAGAGACACGAACACGAACTGACTGACGACTGGTGAAGCAAACGAACACATAAAAAAAAATTTGACACGTTTACAAACCAACCTGCGGGAAAGCGAGAAGTGACAGATTCGCATTAAAGCCCTCTCGTTAAAGTATGGACGACTGCCCGCATAAACGCGAACCATCACATGACCTTACCGATAATGGTTTTAAATTGTTTATAATCCCTGCTAAACGTCAACTGAAATGGTTATGGAACTTTACATGAACGTTTGTGTGATAAAGTTTTAACCTTATGTATTATGGTTTTTTGGAAGCGGGTTGTTAAGAACCATTACCATTCCAAATTCTTGTTTTCTCCATACATTTTCGGAAAGAGAACTATATTAGCAACAATCAATACGAAACTAACGATTTTAAATTGGCTCACCACTTTAGTAGCCTATTGGTCCCAAGCAAACGATTAACGTACCCTATTCTAGTTGAAATTCTATTACTACACTATGTTTGTTTTGATTCGCTATGAAAGTTTGACAGATAACATCAGGGGTGTGTGGATTCATGCAGAACATGCAGGGGTGAGTGAAATAGCTTGGGACTGCTTGGGACCGTTGTTCTGGTACTGAGTGAGCCAAAAATAATAATGATTTTCTTCGGGACCCAGTGGTCTTAGAGTTACCTCTATGATATTAGAACGTTTTTACTTATGGTTTGAGAACATTAATGGTTATGGTTATGGTAGTCAGTAATGTCCATTAATGGTTTTGTATTATCGCTCAACTTTACGTGAAATATATCGTGAATTGCCCTAATAAAAAATAACCATAAACGAACGATAACCTAAATCATTGAACTATTCCACAAATGGTTTGGATGATACCCAGAACACGTCGTTAAGCAAATTAACCATACCATTTTTATTAGGGTGGTAATCAGTAATTTACAGGCAACCATTTCGCGATATATTCCACATAAAGTTGATCGATGTTACAAAACCATTCATGGACCTTACTGGTTACCATAACCATTACTATTAATGTTCTCAAACCATAAGTTAAAAGGTTTTAGTATAGTTTTCTTTCCGAAAATGTATGGAGAAAACAAGAATTTTGAATGGTAATGGTTCTTAACAACCCATTATTTGTAAGGTCCACTTCCAAAAAACTATAATACTACTATGGTTAAAACTTTATCATTAAACGTTCATGTAAAGTTCCATAACCATTTCAGTTGAAGTTTAGCAGGGATTATAAACTTTTTAAACCATTTTAAGTAAGGTCAATTCATGGTTCGCGCTTATGCGGGAAGCTACTAGTGAGTATATGAGATATTATCAAATTTCAGTCAATTAAACATAATTTTGGGTAGAAAATACTCACGAGCAAGTAATTATTTTTACCGTAGTCAAATGTAAACTACTACACGGAGATGAAAAATTACCCAAAATCAAGTACTTTTCCCTCAATTGTGGGGTTCAGCCCAATAACCCAAATTTGAGTAAATCGCATATAGTAGTTTCCATTTAACACTAGCAAAAAAATTACCTACTCTTAAGTATATTCTACCCAAAATTAAGTTTAATTCACGTAAATTTGAGAATATGCAATTTACTCAAAAGTAATTTCAGTGCCAACATTTCAAAGGGGCGTAATTGCTTTTGTAAACAATGGCTTGAGCTATCGATTTTTCGCAAATAAAAGCGCATCCCTTCAAATTAACAATGCTAGCTGGTAAAGGAAACATTTTTTCTACCTGCGGGTGTCATTAATCTTCATGAGTATGCTTTTATTCGCGAGAAGTCGATGGCTAAAGCCATTGTTTACAAATGCAATTACGCCCCTTTGAAATGTTGACACTGACTTATTGGGCTGAACTATATCGTTGGGTCAAATCTCTCGTTCCTTTTTTGACAACAATAACGAGTGCAACTGAGAGGCTGAAGTCAATATTAAGTAAAAAGAACTCAAATTTTGAGTAGTATTTTTCTCCGTGTATATAGACCCTTTTGACGTTTAATCATCTTTCTCTATCTAGCACACACGGATGAATGGACGGTTTGTTTTCCCATTAATCTGTTTCCCTCTTGCTCGCACTCGTTCGCTTCAAATCTGGATCAACAATAGAAAAGGGCCCATCAGCATTTGTAAACAAACCGTTCCAAAGCCCTTTACTCACAAAGCGAAGGCCACCCACACAAACCAACACCATCATCGGATAGGGGAAACTTCTACCTACACGATGATGGTGTTGGTTTGTGTGAGCGGCCTTCGATTTGTGAGGAATGGGCTGATGGGCCCTTTGCTATTGTTGATCCAGAAATGGTACAGTAGTGTGCGCCGATTAAACGTCAAAAAGCTCTATAAGCGGTTTACTGAAAATTAGCTTATTGAACGGAACATGGGAGATGAGTGAAAAGAACTTAATTTTTGGGAATTTTTTGGTTCCGTGTACCGCATATTATAATCAAAAACTCGACAGTGAGCGTTCATAAGGGCCAATGTCGCACACGTAAAAAACTACAAGGGACAGCCCTATCATAGAGGTAACTCTAAGACTAGTAGGTCCCGGAGAAACGAGCTCTACTTTTTGGCTCAGCTCTGGTACTATCTTCGGTTCCAAGCTTTCATAGCGATTCAAAACAAAAATTGTGCAGTACTAGAATTTTGACTAGAATGGGATACGTTAATCAACTTGCTTGGGACCAATAGACTAGTCAAGTAGTGAGCAAATTTCAAATCGATAGTTTCGTATTGATTGTTGGCCCTATGAGGTTGTACGCAATGGTGACGTAGGACCAACAATCAATACGAAACTAACGATTTTAAATTGGCTCACCACTTTAGTAGCCTATTGGTCCCAAGCAAACGATTAACGTACCCTATTCTAGTTGAAATTCTATTACTACACTATGTTTGTTTTGATTCGCTATGAAAGTTTGACAGATAACATCAGGGGTGTGTGGATTCATGCAGAACATGCAGGGGTGAGTGAAATAGCTTGGGACTGCTTGGGACCGTTGTTCTGGTACTGAGTGAACCAAAAATAATAATGATTTTCTTCGGAACCCAGTGGTCTTAGAGTTACCTCTATGGTAGGACTACGTGGTCTTATATAATAAATCTTATTTGTTAACTACAGCAGGAGCTTGTATTTTGTGTATGAATAAGAATTTGAGTAAGGTTCTCTCTGTTTATACACTTTAGTATGACGCACTTGACATAGATGGCCCACAGCGATTCACAAAGAGCTACTGATTCCAATCAATAACGGTGCAGCTGCTTCCTCCTTCTATGGATGCTCGTAGGGGCAGCAGCTAATGCCAACGACCGGACACCACCACACACGGTCATTGGAACTGAATCCGATCAGTGGTTGAGGCCAGCCTCGATAGCTAGCTGCTTGCGAGGAGCCTTTCGTTGTGTACTGGAGAACACTGTTGTGTACTAGAGAATAAACACCGTTTGGTGAGACCGTATGGAATTCAACTTTGAAATGTGTGTTAGGTAAATCGCTTTTCACAGGCAATCAGTGATAATTTTAATTGTCATAGCAACAGTTGCACATTCATGCAATTTTCAGTAGTGACATTTTGAAACAATGATGAAGTCTCAATTTTATCAAATGCGTAGAAATATTTCTGATCGATTAGTGATAAAATTATTGAAATTGGTCCAGGGGCAACTGAGTTATTAACGTTCAAAATCTTTCATAATTATGTTACATCTTCCATTTTCGGTTTTCACAAAGTGTACCCCGATATAGAAATGACAGACGTAGTCCTACGTCAAAAAATCAGAGCCAACATTTCGGTTGCTAATCCCGGGGTGCCAATATTTACCACCGCCTATCGGAATACATAGTTTCCAGTATTTTGTGGAGTTTGTAGAAGAGTTCTTGGGTCCGAAGGCAGGGTTTACATCATGGTATTGTTGTTTTATCAATATAAGTAAATCTTTCAAAGCATGATGAGTGATATTATGACGGAGTGCCCATATTCATAAGGGTTCATCTGAACTACTGCATGTGAATCTAGAGGCAACACCGGTTATTTGTGATGCATGTATTTTGTATACTCTAGATATTGCTGGTAAACGATTAGTTTCACTTGTTTCGTCTGAAATATGATAGAGCAAGTTATGTTTTGAATTTATTTCTATATTCAATTAAGTTGGCTTACGTGACTCGAAATTGTGTTGAATTGAATAAAAACTTGGTTCTGAGGCTAGATTGCTCCTTCCGCATACTTCCGAGTGAGTTTGTGAATACAAATGTTTTAGGGTCTTTTCATATTTTTCACGAGTTTTCACAATTTTCGGTGATAAGCTCCACTTCTCTTATACTTTTTTATATATCTTATCCATATCAAGAATAGAAAGACTGAAGAAAATAGTATGAATACTGCCGGAAAAATGTCGACTCAAAAAACGACTTATTAATCGGTTATCGGTAATAGGTTATTTTTCAGTTTCTCGTGCGATAATGAATGAAGAAGCTATGCAACGCTTATAAGGTACTGTTTAAGAATATTATTCAGGCAAATTATATAAAAAGATTAAAAGCGATAATTTTGATGGAAATGCCTTCTGTTCGTCTTTTCGCTCAGCTGGCCAGTAGACTGATGCAAAATTTGACTTTTTTGCTCCACAGTGCTTAAATGGTTTCAAATCGGGTCCTGATTAGCCTCTCAAAGTTACAACTCATTTGGTTAGAAACAGACTTCGCACAAGTCATTTGAAGTTTACATGTAAATTACTAAGGGAAATCTCAACTTTTTGTTCATTGCCTTCTAGTCTTTTTTTCCATATTGAGCTGCGAAACATTCTTATAGTATTTTTTTTTTCAGCTACAACTTTGTTGAAGATTGTAGACAGGAAAAAGTTATTAATTATTTAAGAGATTGGTTAACTTATGACATGATCAAGCAGCTGCTCTGTAGGCAACACTGTATCTTGCATTGTGACATAGTAGCCATTAAAGAGCCTTAATTTCTAAAGAGACGACATTTTATCCATTTGACAGGTCTTCTGCTCGATTGGAATGACTT